CCCCTTTTTTTTTGATAAACGTTCATCATCAGGGCTTGCACAATTTCAAAATCTCTGGTAGCCCTTCGGGCAGGCAATCTTTAGGTTTTGGTAGCCCATAAATTTGACTAGCCTGAATAAAAGATATTGTATTTTTTCTTCAAATAACAAGTCAAGAGAGTAGGGGTGCAACGGATCACAAATCTCATGGTTCGGATTTTCGGATTACATTATCATATCACATTTTGAGTCACAGATCGATCTTTAGGTTTTGGTAGCCCATAAATTTGACTAGCCTGAATAAAAGATACTGTATTTTTTCTTCAAATAACAAGTCAAGAGAGTAGGGGTGCAACGGATCACAAATCTCATGGTTCGGATTTTCGGATTACATTATCATATCACATTTTGAGTCACAGATCGGATCATTTTTCAGATGAGCAAAAAAATATGGTTCTTTACTATTTAAGTAACACTTATTATTTTAAGAACAATTTACTACTTCGATACCACAGCAAAAACTAGTAGCATATAGGGATGTAAGGATTTACTCAACTCACAATGTGATATGATTCACGATACTGATTTCACAATACAATTTTCTCACAATTCCTTTAACAAAATTAGATTTAAGACAAAAGCTGTCCTTTTGTTATTTCTCAGACCAAAAGGCTGCACATTACTTTGTGAAATTGAAAATGTCAAACAATATACTAACTTGACATTTTAAAACAAATCCAAAATAAAAGAAATTTCTCCATGCATGCATAAATATTATTTACAAAAATCTTGCATAAAACGCTTCAGAACTACATTGAAATGAAAATGTGCTTCTATATTGTTTATTCACAAATATTTCTCTATTAGATACACATCCGCAGTAGCCTTGGCTTGAGGGAAGCCTACCTTTGCAGTAGAGGACTGTGGGATATCTCAGCTGACAGGGTGCTGCTGAGCGGCCGTGGCGTGAACGTTCATACATAGCACAGTGGCACTGCTTTGGGGTTTGTCTTGCTCTTGGGTGGCATGGCAGGCTGGGGAAACGGGCAGCTGAGAACCCAGCAGGTGCCACGTCTTGCACTTCGGCCCTGACTGGCTCACTCTGTGACTGAGCCCAGATAGTGTGTGTGTGTGTTGGAGCAGTTGTTAGCCCCCAGCGCTGGTGAGATAGTGTCAGGCTTGGTCAGAACCACCTGTCTCATACAACCTATTCTTCTCCTAACCCGTCGTGGTTGTGTTACTATGAAGCTTCATTTGTTGGTCCACTGAAGATGCCTGTCAGTTGAACTCAATGGCATTCATCTTGTCCTTCTGCGCAACTGTCACAAGAAATATGCGTAATATAGAGGAGCTGTAAATATTTCATTGCGGCAGCATCAAGGGCACGCTGCCTCATCTTGCAGCGTTCAGAAGAGAGTGCGCCATACCCTTAAAGGGAGCTTTTCCTCACCCAGCAGTGTTTGCAAATATTATCAGTGCTCCAACTGTTCTGGCAGAACAGAGTCTATAGCCAACAGTGATTCCAGCAGAATAATCCTATGGTTACCATGGCAACCAAATCGAAGGGGTTCTTTTTTTTTTCTTGAGAGGTCAAAGATGGATGAAAGGGATCCTGTATTATACATTGCATTTTGTAAAAGTGCATGTAGGTTTTTTTATTTTTTGGCCCAAAGGAAAATTTTATTGCTCAGAGGTTGTTCTTTCATAGCTCAGGAGACCCGTGGAGTTTGCTGTTGTTTTATTTAAGTATCAGCTTTGTCTCAGTAGTTTATTCTAAAACTCTTTAGGAGGAATCAAAACAGACACAACTGAGACAGTTGTTGGCGAATTATGCAAGAGTACAGAATTTTAGCACAAGTTTATGGGTTTGATTCCCATGGAATTCTTGAACTGATAAAATGTATACCTTGAATGAAATGTAAGTAATTTTGAATAAAAGCACAACTATATATTTAAAATGTAAATAAAAGGTTAAATGGCAGTACTTTTTGTCCACATCTATTAATTTGTGTCCTCTGCATTAAACAGATTTTTAATTTCTGAATTTAAATTAATTTTGGGTGGTCTGTCCAGTTATAATGAAGAAAACAAAAACTCTTTGAATGAAAATCTAGAAAAGAAATCCTTATGAAGTAGTTTGGCATAACTTTTTATTATTTATTTAAAAAATATTTTAACAAAACTGCTTCACTGCTTATTACTTCTTGAAAAATGGTTGTCTGCCAAATCAGAGATGTGTGTTGAAAAAAAAAAATTTTGTATTCAAAGATGCCACCACATGACGTTTGAAGAGTACATTTACTTGACACATGTGCTTAAAACTAGATTTTTCTAGAAGTTAATGGATAGCACAACTCCAATTACTGACAAATCTGAGCAAAGGTTGTGACATTATTGAAATCTTTTTAAAATACTTTCTTACGATTACCAGGATCTTTTTCTCAGAAGAAAAGAGAAAATTGCTCTCTAAAGCCTGGCTCACACTATAGGATTTTTAGCCCGATTTAGCCCCGATTTCCCCCTCCCGAGAATCGGAGCAAAAATCTTGTCGAGCCCCTCGATCGGTCCCGATGTTCGGCGCAGATTATCTGGTAATGTGAGGCGTTCACAGATCGAATCTTGCACCTCCCGATCTGCTCGCACTCAAATCGGGGCCGCCCCGATCATATCAAACATGTTTGATATTTAGGCTTGAAATCGGGATGATGACGGCTATATGATTACGTCAGTACTTTCATAATAGCCAATGCGCGACCGCAAAACAGCTGCTGTACGGCTCCATTGGATAGTGGAGATGGAGGAAACGGCTTCTTGATGTTTTGTATTAACACGACTGTCTGTATAATGTGTCGAAAACGTATCACTACCGTAAGGATAAAGAGAAGCGCTGGAGTGAAATCGCCTCAGTTTTGAACGTGTATGGGGGTGGCAGGGGGAGTCACGAGCAGGGGGTCTGGGTGCTTTACTCAAGTTAAAACACTTTCATCATCCTCATGAATGTATGCTGGTTTACCTAATGGCTGCGTCACACACCAGTTTTTGTTCTGTGCTGATCACAATCGAATCCTTTCGTTATAACATACAGAGTGTTTACACGATGATGTTAATAATATATTAATTGCCGTGTGAGATTCATTGGTCATAACAGAACTTTGTGAGATCACAATGAACTAAGAGTGACAGTTTTTAGTGGTTAAAAAGAGGAGCGCTCTTTGCGAGCTCTCTAGGCAATAATCCATTTAAAATGTAGAACTTTGTTTTTCGGCCACACACACGTTGCAAAGTTTCGGGAATGACATCCGCATATTTATGCTGGATTCGCTCTCGAAGTAGTAGTGATTGACATAGTGATAAGTCTGATAACCATAGCAATAGATGGGACAAAATATGTGAAAACGTGCATTAAGACTAGAGCACCCTCACTAATATCAGAAGCACCCTCAGTGATTATTTCTGGTTGGTACGCTTTTATTGATTAGCCTACAAAAACAACAAAATACAAACGCACTAGATAAAATAATTTAATAAATGCATATTTACAATTTAAGCACTTAACTAAAATAAGTATTAAATTAAATAACTAGAGAAGGCTGACTATAACCAGTTTGCTTCCATTTTAGTAAGAAAAGCCTTGGCTACTCTTCACCTGAATTAGAAAAAAAGCTCTTCTGGTGTTCAGTGATGCGAGGACAACGTTTGAGCGTGCACATGCAATATCTGAGCGAGAGCAGAGCCAATTCATAACATAAAAAAACAATGTATAGTTAAAAGCACAAGTCCAGTTTTGTATGAGTGAAGGAAATCCGCTTGCGGTGAGATTCTTGCTCACGCATTACATGGATCGCGTAACATTATGCGCTCTCGACATTTGTCATTAAGATCACGCTATAGAAACCGCTTAAAATTAAGTATTAAGAAGAGAAGAAAGCGACCCTAGGCAGCTGCCTACACATGATCCGCCACTGCCAGATGCAGTTAGAAATTTACAAAAAAAAATTTAGGGGGGGCACCTGGGGTGGCCAGCCAGATTTCAGGGCGGGCCGGTGCCACCCCTGGCCACCATGTAGACACGCCCCTGGTCACGAGGCGATCACGTGAGGCGCTCCCTCTGGCATGATAATCTTAATAATATCTTGTAGTGTGTGATGCGCCATGATGTTCAAATCTTGTAGTGTATGCATGTTTAAGATTTGAGAGAAGATAATGTGCAAAGATTCTCCTTATGTGTGTGCTGCAACCAGATTTCATAATCTGTTAGGATTTTAAAACTCCTGTAGTGTGAGCCCGGCTTAAGAGACAGTTGGATTATTATGGGGATAAATTTATATATCTTTCCTGTGTGATGTTGTAATTCATTCTGAAAGAGTGTGGCTTTGTTTTATTTGTTAAATTTCATGGTATGTTGTATTCTCTTAAAACTTGCTGATAATTGAATTGTCACCATCCATCCCTCATGGTCCATCTGCATCTCTGCATTTGGCATTTAGAGCACAATGTCTCTGGTGTTTTGGATATTCCCCTACGCAACTGTGAAACTTTGTCAGTAGGATTTTTATTCATGAATCCCACTCATGCACCAGCAATTTACATTTTGCCTCTCCATATGTATGATTGAGAGGGCATCAACAACACGTCCTCAGAAAGCCCGGATCGAGTCAGCACCCACCAGCTCTCTGGGCACAACTCTTGAGTATTGTTTTGCACTGTTTCATTAGTTATGAATGAAGAGGCAGCCCTTCATGAGTGGACCAGAGAGATGGAGGATCACATCTATCCACAGGCCTTGAGAACATACTAACGAGTTTTGATGGAATTGTAATGATTAATTCAGTGTTCCTGTGAGATGTTTGCCTTATTTGATGTACCTTTGATGGGTGTGGAAATTTTGTTCAAATGGATAGTGTCTTCTCAATTTTATCAGAAGGTCAAGCTGTAGTAATAGAATGTAAATTTTTTTCTTTACATAATGTATGTACGCTGCTGTTAGAGAAATATTTTTCCAAAGTATCTACCTGTAGATTCCACAGAGTAATGCCTTCAGAAATCTGCCTGTTGGCATTTCCATTCATCTCAATGGCAGTTGAGTTTGGGGTCTCATACGCTCACCAAGGCTGCATTTATTTGATAAAAATTTGTGCTGTCAAACGATTAATCGCGATCAGACTGCTGATGATGGTTAAATTATCATTGAGTCACATTGGGATGATCATTAGCTGTTGTCCGCAGGGCTCTTCTCTTGGTTTGCATGTCTGCATTGGCTCTGAGAGTCGCTGGCAGAGGGCAGTGTTTCAGAGGTGACGAACAGTCTACCTGCTACAGTGCTGGTGACATATATACAGGCATTAGTAAGCCAAGAAGCTCAGTCACGAAGGCCTCTATGCCCTGTGGTGTACTCACAGATAGTCTGTTGTGGGTGCAGTTTGACAATGGACGAAACGATGTCAGCCACCTCTTTCAGTTACACCATTTTTGTACTGTGTGTCTTTGTCACCCTCTTGCTGACTGAAACTCCTCTGCTTCAGCCTTCGTTGTGGGAATCAGTCAATGAGTACATTAAATGAAACTTTCCCTGATAAATATTTAGCCTGTTCGGCAAACTCTGCAGGCCGGGTACAGAGAAAGAGCCCCTTGAAATAATCATGCTAGCAGTGGTGTATTAAGAAAGTACTTTACTTGAGTTTTTATATTTCAGCCTACTTTTACTCAACTACATTTCCTAATTAAAATGTATACTTTTACTCTGATACATTTTCCCGAAGCATATTCGTTACTTACTACAAAATAGTCAGAAGTCAGAAGAAAAGACTACAGGAAAGCAGGTTTGACCAATCAGTGGTCTGGCATTTGCAAGTTAGACTCCTAAAAACACCTTTGCTCATGTGCAAACAAGTGCGTGCACAATTGCGGATGATTCATTTTCCACTCAGGTCGAGGCTAGGGTGTGCTGTACGATACAGTGTCATCTGCGATAGTGTGGGAAGCGTTGTTGTAATGATGTGCGACATTATCAAGTATATCGCCAAATCACACACGCACGCACGTGATTTATTATTCTATTAAAACTCAAAATTCCAGGCATTCTAAATTATAGACGGCAAAAAATGCTTCTGTATGCTTTTTATATTTATATAATTTAATATAGTTAACTTAATCTATATCACACAAAGACTACCGTTTTTCTGCAGATTTCAGCATGAACACATTACTTAACTTGTATAAAATTATTATTTAAAGCAATAAGTGACTTACATTTTAGACATAATATTGCCTGTTTTTGCTAAATTTTGCCAACGATAATAGTTCCAAACAAAGATCACAGCACTGTTTTGCGTCTCTGAGCAATGGTGTTTACTTATTGAATGAATCAGCTTTTTGAACGAATCGGTTGAATAAATGATTCAGTGATTCACTCATTAACACAGTCAAATGCTTTGTTTCTGAATGAATCAGCCGTTTGAATGAATCGGTTGAATCTCAATGACTCACTCATTAACAGTCACTTGCTGTCACTTACTGGCGGTTTTAATTTCACATTTACCGACCCCCACCGTCGTTTTGATTTTTTTATAGTAATAAAAATCATTTAGTTCAGTAAAAGAACAGACACTACAATTAAAAACTGAACGCGGCTACTCAATGCAGCGTGCCGAACGACAGTCGCATCACAGATCAGATTTCATTTCTCCAGCGAGGTGAGTGAGTCGAGCTGACTGACAAGAAGAGTGAGGCGAGGTGAGACAGACAAGGCGATCGCGGATGATTTAGTTTCGAAACTAGATGCAAAAGCGCCTGTTTGGCAATATTTTGGATTTTGAAAAACCTGTTGACTTTTGCCGTTTATCTAAGGTGATTTTTAAAGTTTTTTTTTTTAAACATTCGTTTCTTATTTAATTGGTTCCACATTGTTTGCTGATTTTTACTTTATTTAAACTGTCATTTATTTATTTAATTTGACATTCGTTTTGCTAATAAACGTTCTACGTTTCTTATTTATTTGGTTATATATTATACATGTTTACTTATTTCCAGTTTTGTATACCTATTAAACTTGATGTAAGTTATGTTATTTTATATTAGGCATAGCTAGCCCAATAGCATGGTGTATTTTTATTTGTTTTGTTAATAAAAGTTGTTTTATATATACGCTAAAGTGAGTTTGACATTGTATTTTGTTGCATTCAAGTAATTGACGCCGAACTGCCACGAATTCAAAAGTGAAAGTAAAATACACACAGCGCTTTTAAGCTATTTAAAAGCGGAGGAAAAGAGGGAAAATTCAAACGAACTAAAAACTAACAATTGCTTTACTCCGAATTGCCGCTATTTTAAAGTGAAAGTAAAATGGGCACACCGCTTTTACAAGCTATTTAAAAGCGAGGAAAAGAGGGAACGCCCCGCCCCCACGGTGATACCGGTATTACCGGTGTTGTCACACGTCGATTAACCGGTGGGAAAATGTCACAACCCTAGTGAGAGGCAGTTTGCAATCATTGGAAACAAAACAAAGCTGGAATGGATCAGAATACAATTTAATTCTTTGTCTAAAATGTTCTACTCGGTCTAATTTCAACAGGCTCATCATTTCCAATACCTTTTCATGGACACTATATAGGGTCCTGTGAAATCCGTTAGATTTTTTTCCCCCCAAATTCTGTTTTAATGATTTAATTACATTTGAATAATTAAAGGGGTCATATGATGCAATTTCAAATTTTCGCCGCTGCTCACTCAAGCCGGCCTCCGCTCACTCTAGCCTGCCGTGTGTGACGCTGTGTTTCATTGTGAAAGCGAAACCACTTTGTTTGGCCTTCCAAAAGAGGACAGGACTAGAAATCAGTGGTTAAGTTGTATTTACAACACTGTTCCAGAACACTTCAACCCAAATATTCAGATGTGTGCAGCACATTTTATGGAGGACTGTGTCCTGATCCTGGTAGAGTAGACTACAATGCTGGCTGTTCTGACTCACAGACTGTTAGTACGTTTTTTATATTTAAAGAATTTGCCACTGACGATTCAAACGCGAGTTTTGAGTAGTGTAGAGTAGCGTTTGTAGTTTGTCATTTCTCCGATCACAAATGCAGACATGGTTTTATGTTTACGCGGCGCGATGCAATGCAACGCGTAAAAAGACAGAAGTCATTATAATCCGTAATTATGTCCCCACTGGATGCAACAAATGCTTCGTTTATAATGGGTTTTAATGTTTTTGTCTCGTCGCATCAAGGCATCACACAATATGGTAAGGGTGTAACATTTCCGTCACACGCTTGAGGTATTCGGCCAATCACAACACACTGGATAGCTGGCCAATCAGAGCACACCTCACTTTTCAGACCGATGAGCTTTGTAAAAAATCGACGCGTTTCAGAAACACGGGGCATAGAGGAGAAACAATAATGTACATTATGTGGAAAATAATGTGTTTATTTAACCTTAAAGCGCATAAACATTTCATCACACCAGATACACAAAATAATGTTCTTTTTAGCAACATCATATGACCCCTTTAAAAAGAATGTCTAATCAGTTGAATTTGTAAACGTTGAAATATTCAGTTATTCATAAACATATAATAATTACAGTATCCTATTAAATGTTATATTTATTTATTTGTTTGTTTTATTTGTTTTCCAGATGTTTTGTGTTTTCTGGATTTTCTGTTTTATGATTTAATACAATTTTATTATCAAAAATCGTGGTAATAAAATGAATGCATATAACTTAATTTACTAAATCTTTTAAAATGTAATCAAATGTAGCAATTCCTTACGTTTAGGAAAACAAATTGCTGTACAACAGAACTTTACAGTTTAAATTAAAACATGGATTAAAATTGTGTGATATTCCTTAAAAAAAACAATGTTTTAATTAGAGATGCACCGATTCCAATTTCCGTTTTTTTTTTTTTTTTTTGTAAATGTGACCTGCCAATACCGATTTTCTTTTTAGAAACTATACTGACAGCATATACAAACAAAAATCTATACTTTTTTTAATGCAAAAAAAAATATTTATAATGCTATTTCATGCATGTTGAGTTATTTACACTGGCAATGTTTAGCAGGAGAACTCTTTAACAAAGTTTCAAAAAACGTTTTGGATGTAGAATGGAGTATTTCTGTGTTAAATACACTCCTTTCGGTTTCATACAATTTTGGAAAGTTTTTTTTCCATCGTGGCTCTTCATGACGTCATGAAGGGTGGAACTCCTTATATGGGCACTTCTCCCAGAAGAACACTCGCACACATCCACCAGAGTAAGAGCGAGAGCAGCCCATCAACACGCTTCATTCGGCAGTGCTGCACGGGACTTAATTGAGAAGAATGTGCCCAAAGAAGTGTGTTTTTGGTTATGAGGAAAAGATAACCTTGTTCAGCGTCCCAAAAGAACCCAACGTTACATAAACAGTGGATACAGTTTGTTTTTCATCTATAACTTTGGTCTGTGTGTTCTGTTGCACTCATTTGTTTTGATTTCTGCACGAGTCTCTCACACACTCACTCAGGCTGGGCAAGCCTCATCTGGCATGCCATAAATACATTATCAGTTGCTGTTAAGTGTGATGTCAAAACAGACCGGCTCGGAATCGGCAGACTTGATGGAAAATCGGCTAATTCCGGTCCCTGGCCGGTCGATCGCTGCATCTCTAGTTTTAATAAATTGTGTTATTACATTAACACATTCTAAGTAAGTACATTCTACTGTACTACTGAACTCTCAGAGCAGCTCTGAAGATGAAGTTCATGTGGAGTGTCTGTATACACTGATGTAGGATTTACTTTGAAACAATTTTCACTCAGAAATTACTAATTTCACAAATATTTGTGAACTAAAAGCAGGTAACACAGAATAAAAGTAGAATTGAAGTAGAAAGACTGTAAAAGTACTCCAATAATCTTATTTGAAAAATAAATCTAATCACAGGCACAGTGTTCTAGATCATATTTAAATTTGATTGTGTACAGCCCTAATTCTGATTTATTCATCCAAATTTTACCAAATTATGCTAAATGGCACCTAATTATGTCTGTCAAAATATACATGTGATTGGTTGAGTTCTAATGGTTGATATGATGTTTTGAACAGAGCAAACCCAGCATGTTAAAGGTAGAGAGCCTGTGTCTTTTTCAAGCATGCTAGATGTAGGGCTGTGACATATCAGGGCTCTACAGTGCGACCATTTCATTTGCGACTGAAAACTACTGTGTGCGACTATGAAATAATATTTAGGAGCACCTGTGCGACTGACCCGGTCAGCATATTTGTGTTTGCGCTGAGGGAGCTTCAAAGGTTCTAATGTACGTACGTGTTTCTGCAGCGTTGAGTAATGCATCACAGACATATCCTCTCATTATAACAAACAAAGTGTTGACGGGGTGTAAATAAGAGATTCATTGTGCAGTGTAGAGAGCTTCGTCGATTATAATGGAGTTTTGTGAGATCGGGATAAACTAAGATGAGTGACAGCTTTTAATGATTATTAAGGGAGTTTGCAAATGTGATATTTTATGAATTAACTGCGTGTTTAAACGATTCTAGCGAGTCAATGATTCAATTACCCATTCATAAAGACTGTCACGAACTTCGTTCCTGAATGATTCAGCTGTTCGAACGAATCAATTAAATGAATGATTCAGGGATAAAATCAGTGACTTGACGCCACCTGCTGGCAGTTTTAGTTTAATTTTTAAAGCATCTTTTCTGTTATTTAAATCATTTCTATATTTAAAACATTAACCTCAACATGAATTTATGAATTAAATTGCACTCATGCGACCTCTGAGCCTCATTATACGTCTGAAAATACACATACAAGCCACTTGTGTGTTCTTTTGTGCCATATCTGTAGCACAAATGTATTTCTTAAATACTGATTTCATTTGATTGGTAACTTATTCTTATTCTACTTCTTATTCTACTTGTTTTTATTCTGTTGTTTTAATTAGAAATGTTAAAAAGCTTATAAATATATTTTTTTGATTTTGACAAAAGATGACATACTTTTAATAAAGTAAAAAAAAAAGCCATTACAAAGGTAAAAATAAAATCCCTATAAATCACTTTAAGGAGTCAAATATCACCTCTTAATGGGAAGGTTAATTTTTTTTATTAGAATTTGATTCCTGATTAGAAGGTGATCCTAAACTTTTGACAGTGCTCCTAATTTTTTTTAATTAGGAGCACAAGCGCTCCTATAAAGAAAAGTATCCATAGAGCCCTGCATATGCTTGTGGTATAGCCTATATC